CAAAGATCCGCCTAAGCCGTAATCCCGGTAAATTCGGAGCCAAAAAACAAATTTTTCTCCGCTACTCTAAAAATCGGATCTCCTTGCAAAAAATCCCCACGGTTCCCCAACTTGCTCATCACATAGCAGACACATGGTACTAAAGAATGTAAACGCTTAATTTTTTCTTATGACTCAAAATTAAGAAGTAAGAAAAGCCCCGAGTGCTAGAGTGCTACTTTTTCGCGTTTTTCACATCAAACTTGGTATTTCTCGATTACCCCATAAAAAGGTAGAACTCCGAGGTTATACTTACTAAGGCTTGTAGTACACAACGATTAGTGTGGGAATTACTAGGGGCAGAGTTTGCCATCTTCGTACTTTATTTTACCTCGCTTTCTATGCGCGAAAAATAATTTAGTAAAAGCATAATTGAGTACTACTATGTGTCTACTGTGTAATGACCAGTTGGAAGTCTGTAGGATTTTTTCTCGCGAAAATCAATTCTCAGGTGGTAAAATTTTTTTCGACTTTAGCTGCAAACTTTGCGTGGATGGCGACCTGGGCGGATCTTTAGTATCCAGTCTTTGAAGATGCTTCACTCTATCTAGTGATATTCCAAGTTTTCTAGGAAAACAACAGCTTGATTTATTTAGGAAAAGAGTTCACATCTGGGACAATTTGAGAGAGCACGCTCGAACAAGGTATGACTGAATTTGTGAATAAACACGAACAGGTTAAATTCTACTTTTCTGTACGCCTTCGAGATAGATTTTAGCTTTTAGACTCGTCGATGAATAGGGTCACTGGCCTATACGATTTGAATATACTTTTGTCTTTCGCATTACTCTTATATCAACACCGCTGAAGATTGGCAGGTAGTGACTAGATATCTGATGATGGAATACACCCTTCGATGGCGGTTACATAAAAAAAAAGAGAGCTCACGAATTAAGGAGAAAATAAAACATATAAATGTTAAGTACCAAATTGGTCTCTTCACTTTACTCAAGATAATCACGATCTTGCTTCATTCGAAAAGTTTTAACGTTTTGACTGACCATTAGATCACCGCGAATTTTCTCGCTCCAAAGAATACAAGTTATGAAACTTATATTACTACCCATGTTTTTCAGATATACAAACTCAAGGAAATCCGTTTAAGGGTGGGAAACTTACTGTAGAAATAGGAGTACATAGATTCTACCTAAATTTGCCTTTAACTTCTAACTACCAGTTTTCAAAAAAAGCTAGTATTTTGTTGTAAAGACAATCAGCACTTATGATATACCTTCATGTAACACCAAAAATTTCACATAGTATCTAGTGAAAAAATTCGAAATGCCAAAAACTAGAGAGAACGTGATTGTTGAAATTTTAGAAAAACTGCTGTCTGCAAATCGTCATCAGTTGCAATCACTGAAAAAAACCAAATGGTATGGTCTTATCGAATGATTTGCGCCATCACAGTCACAGACTATGCATTTTATCGTTACTCATCTTTCGATTTGTGATTGATGAGTGGCGTATACGCAAGAGTATCCTTCAAGTAGATTGTGCATTGCGGTTCCAATTCGTTTTCAGTAGTTCTGATCAGTTTGTGATGTTTCGAAAGCTGTTAATATTGGTGAATTTATAGCGCAATTGCATCAGAAGGTTGCTATGAATAATCCTGGAAAGAAAAAGTCTTGTCAGAACTTCACTGAAGAAGCTACTATTTCATATACTCTCGCATCAAACGATGATGTTTACAGCATTCCCAACGTCGTTCAAAGTGTAAGAAAGCGCGATCGTCTTGTTCTAGCTGATTGCTTTCCGTCTAACTTCTGCTACTGCCAGGATATGTGTTACTTCATCGATCATGACTCGTGTTTCTCATCGCTCTTCTTTTTTTCCATTAATTAACTATGCCTAGAAAGAATAGTTTCTAGGTAAATCATGTCCGAGGAGGAGAAAATGCCTGAGGACGGGAACCCGAGCGATGCCGGGGAAGCGGCAGGGGAAGGAAACCCTACCGATGAGGGTAAGACCGATGAAGGGAACCCTACCGATGGAGGAAACCCGACAGATGAGGGTAAAACCACTGATGGAGGTAACCCTACGGATGAGGGAAAAACTACTGATGGAGGAAAAACCCCAGAAGAATGCTCATGTACATCTGAAAAAGTTATGCAGTTTTTGCAAAAGATGGCTAAGGTCAGTTTCTAATTTGGATTCGTCCTAACTATCAATTTTTTCTTGTTGGCTAATTTGTGCAATTGAGGACTTTGATTGCTTCAGGAAAGTGGCACCGAAGACTTGACCGATCCAGCACTTGCAGAATTTCTTTCAAAAAGTGATGGCCTGAAACACGTCAGAGATCAGTTTTACTTTCCAAAATGTGGCACTCTTCCAGAAGGTAACTTATTTTCTAACTTATTTATTCTGTATTAATAAGGTTACCATTGATTTTCGTATTATAAAAGGCTGGGGTATTACCTGACCATGAAAATTCCAATTTTCCGGCCGTTCAAATCTTTTTGATGTAGTTCTTCAGTTGTTGAATATACCTAAATCTGCCTTAGCTATGCCATAAGCACAAGAATATCCACATTCATACTGTTCATTTGTTCGAAACTTCTTGATTATTCCAGAAATTTCACATTTGTATAGGATCTTTGATTTGGTCAAATCTGGGCATCACCTGACTGCTGAACTTATATGCTTACCTACACTCATAATCAATGATCATTAATCTCATCTTTATAAATGACGAAATGATTAAGGAAGTATGACCATGAAGATGATGAATGCTCAGTATCATTTGTATTGTCTGATCAAGTGTTCCCTCCATTAGGCCGTCGATTACAGATCGCACAATCTTTCCTTATATTTACTGGGCAAACATTTTTGTAACACAATCATGGTTAGAAAAATACATTGAAATGTTAGTTCTAAGAGCGCACTAAAACAGGTCTTGAATAGAATTCTGTGGTGCCAAATTGCTAAATTGTCGTGCAGTACAATAACGCTAACATTCCATACACAATGTACTTTACCTTATGGGAAAATTACTCTAACGAATTTGCAATTATGGAAATTTTCAGCCGATCGATCTCTGTGCGATCCAGAATCTGATTCCATATACTTATGTGGAAACTCACTTGGATTGATGCCAAAAGCTACGGAACGAATTATGCACGAACAACTTGATAAATGGGCTAAGATGTATAATCACTTTTATATTATGTTCTTAAAGATGTTTACTTTACTTTAGGGGAGTCTTTGGACATACAAAAGGAGAACTTCCATGGGCCCATTGCGATGAACATGCGTTGGAAGGTGTAGCTCATCTTGTCGGTGCAAAACCTGAAGAAGTTGCTTTGTGTAACGGTCTCACCGTCAACATTCATGTGCTACTAGTAGGTCGTTATTCTTTGGAATTCGAAAAAGGCAAAATGGTTACGATTTACTCTTTAGGCCGCTTTCTACAAACCAACCGAGACCCGCCATAAAATCTTGCTGGAAACAAAAGCATTTCCCTCGGACCATTATGCGATTGAGTCTCAAATCAGATTGCATGGAAGAACAGTAGAAGAGAGCATGGTAAGTTTATCCCAGCTAATACTTGGGCTTCAGAGCTTTTCTAGAGAATTCGAATCCCTGAGATTCTTGCTTTTTTGGTAAAATCTAACTTATTTTTTTACAGGTCTGCCTTCCACCTCGTGAAGGTGAGGTATGCTTAAGAAAAGAAGACATACTTTCCTACATAGAAGAGCATGGAGAAGAAATTGCGATTATTTTTCTGCCTGGCGTACAATACTACACAGGACAGCTGTTCGATATTCATGCTATAACCACGGCTGGTAAACAAAAGGTACGTCACGACAGAGTGCTTTCATCAAGAAGCCTAACTTTTGCACTCAGTGGTATTTTATGATGTCTGTAGTGGTTCAAAATATTTGCCACTGGCTGGCAAACCCGGCTCCAACCGGCCCTGTCAATAATATTTCAGTAATCAGCATGCTCATCCCCCTATACCAACTCCCAGCCTCGTAGGTGAAGCTTTACTAAAAATTTATAAAAGATACCTATCAAAGAGAAAAAGACCTACCCCCACCTTCCTCCCCCGAAGTGTATGTATGCCAATCTGGTCCATTTCGGCTCAGAAATAAAAATTTCTATTCGGATACCTACATACGTACATACATACAGACAGCAGACATTCAGCTTTATTTATACGGAATCGCAATCATGCAAAACTCAGACTAGTCGCCAGCTGAAAACGAGTTTGTGCAGTTGCACAGTGGCGCTCGTAAATTTCGTAGAGGCCCGAAAGGAGCGCGGGAAAGTGGCAATTCAAAAAGCTCATATGAGTCGCGAAATTTTTCATGTTCACCAGTAAATTATTAAGTTATATTTCCTGGGCTTTTTAAGAATCCGAATTGGCTTTGCAAAAAAAATCCTACTATCCCCCCTCCCTATCA